AGCCCTGGAGTACAAGTTGCCGTACCACAGTCACTTTTGGTTCCTGTGAGGCCGAACACTATAACACTGATGTGTCAAATGCATAACGGTTGGCTATCCAATGTGGACAGAGAGTGGGGTGGAGCTCCCCGATTAAAACAAGCTTGGAAGGAAGAGTGGCATCCACTTCCATAATAGCTTGCCTCTGGAAACCCTATGAACCTGGAGAGAGGATGATAGGCACCCAAGTGTGGAGGACTTTCCTTCATAGGGTCGCTATGAGTTGCCTGCGACTCAACGGCACTTAACAACAACAACAAAGATACTAGGGAGCTCTGGTGGCATAGTGGGAAAAGCCTGTACTGCAGTTCTGAAGGCACACGGTTCATGGCCACCAGCTGCTCCAGGGGAGACAGATGGACAATCTCCTTCCAAACAATTAACTGCCACTGAAAACCTGTGAGAGGGTCAGTTATGGGTCGGTTCCAACTCTATGGCACACCACAATAACAAAGATTTACTGAGCCAGAAAAACTCTGTTCCTTCTGTCCATTTCTGCTAGAACAAATTGTCCAGCACTGGGTTTATACCTCTTTCAAATGTATACGTACTAAAAGGTGTATAATAATTGCCATTAGGTGCTGGGGAGTCTGTTCTGAATCATAGCACACATTTGCACCCTAGAACAAAATAGTCTTGCACAATTCACAAAGTTATTGCAATGTTTGAGCTCACTATTGCAGTCACTATGTCAATACATCTCACTGATTTGTCATAGTTAGATGTCACAGAGTCAACTCAGATTCATAGTTATCCTAAATGCAACAGATCTGAGCCTTATCCAATCCCACGTTAACCTTAACACGTCCATTGTGCTTCAGTCCACATGTGGCAGTGCCTGTGTCAATCCACATCATACAAGGTCGTCCTCTCCTTCTTGGAGAGAAAAGTGACTCTCCACATTTCCAAGCATGGTGTTCCCTTCCAAGGATTGGCCTTTCCTAAGAGCTTGTCTGAAGTATGTGAGAGGAAGTGTCATCATCCTTATCTCTAAAAAGTACCCTGGCTGCACTTCCTCCAAAAGAAATGGATTTATTTTTTTGACAGTTTATTATGTCGTAGGCGACTCATAGCGATCCTGTGAACAAATGTCCTCGACGCTTGCGGGACTTTCAGCCTGTCTCCAGTTTCATAGGATTTCCGGAGACAAGCTATTTACGGAAGTGGATGTCACTCCCGCTCCCAAGCTTGTTTCAACCAGGGAGCGCCACTAACACTGTCCACCATGGGTAACCGTTATCTCATTTGACACATCAGTGTCACAGTATTCATTATATAGTAACAAATCAATTCAAAGGCATCAATTCTTCAGTCTCCTTATTCATTGAGAGTCTTCCTTAAAGTCACCTCAAATATGAACTACTTAAGAACTTTCTTGGACATATTTAGCATTTTTTAAAAAGAATTATACAAATCCCTTATATGTGCTGGTTGAATCACAGGCAAGTAAGAAATGAATATATATAAATTATTTTACAAACTTAATCACAGTAATTGTATTATATGGAGTACTAAATATGTGTTCAAAACTACAAGATTAGTGTGAAATCGTAACTCTATGTTCAGACCTCTATGGTAGATTATTTCTTCATTATACAGTTAAGGAAGTTGAGAATGAGAATTTAACATTACTCGTTGAGATCATGAAGTTGATAAGTAAAGGGAATGGAAACTGAAGTCAAGCACTGTGCCCTCAATCACATTTTTATTACTGTCTGTGTCTCTGGCAAACAGGATTATGACCTCATTTGACTCTGATGCCTTTATCTATTTTCTTTAAGTGGACCTGCTTGCTGAAAGGAATGTCTGGATGCCCACAGAAGGAGTTCAACTGCTCTCCCTCCGTTCTTATTGTTTCTTGTGGCCCTCAAGTTGATTTTCATAATAATTAAGCCTATGTTTGGAGAAAACAATCTTCAACAATTGTAGTTAGAAAGTGAATGCATCCTTCTTTCATTTTCTAGGCTATGCTTTCTTTAGCAAGGGATTTATTAAAAAAAGATACTTGAACAAGAAACTTATGAGCATGAAATGGTGAAAGTAAAGGAAAAGAATTAACAGTACATCAAAAAGTCTTCACTCCCACTAGTTTATAAAAATTTAAAGACAGACATACACATACAAAACAATTCACTATCGTCAGTAGTGACCTTTATTGTGCTCACAACATTGTCTCCAATGTCTTGTCTTCTGCTTGTTCTCTTTACAAGAGCAAACCAAGTTCATGTCAGATCCACAAAACAATGTTTGTGAAAATAGAACAGAAACCAGGTCAGTCTTGGTAATGGAAATAAAAGTCATTTTCTGAAGAATCAAAATAATTTTAAAATATGTTTCTCCCGCATCCACTCTGGCTGTACTTTATCCAAGACAGATTTGCTCATTCTTTTGACAGTCCATAGTAAATTTTATATTCTGGGCCAATACCACAATTTAAAGGAATCAACTCTTTTTTCTTCCTTATTCGGCTAAAATTTTTTATGATGTTGGATGTTTAAATTTTTCTTCAGCTTTAGTGTCAACTTCCTTATGAGTAAATTGTTCCACAATCTTTGGTCTTCTTATGAGCAATAATACTGAGTTTTCCAATTGTTACATTCCATAGAAGTAATCTATTTTATTTCTGTGTATTCTGTCCATGAGGTTCATGTTTCATAGTTGCCATTTAAATGTTGGGGGGGAGATAAACAACCTTTGTCCAGCTCTGGTGGCTCAGTGGTAAGGAGTTTTGCTGTCAACTGAAAGGTGTGAGATTCAAATCTACCAGCTGCTTAACAGAAGAATGGTGGGAAATATCCTCACATGGGATTTACCTCTGAAAAACTGCTGGAGGGTCAGCTGGGAGTCTGTTCTGACTCCACAGTACATAACAGCAATATCATATAGTGGTTGTCATGGTTATATGCTGTCAAGTCAACTATGACTCATAATGACCTTATCAACAATGGCTGTCTTCCTCTCCTGTGCTGATCCTCTACCCTTCCAAACATAATATCCTTCTCCAAGGATAGGTCCCTCCTGGCAACATGTCCAAAATATTTTAAGGTTAGTCTTATAAAATTCTATCATGTAGTTTCTAGAGTCCTTTCTATTAGCAAGGTTATCTTTTGCTACTACTGATTCTTTTTGTTTCTAACATTCATATTTTAGTCAACAGTATTTATCAATGCTTCATAACTGTATTTTTAACCCATTTCAGATTTCAGAAGTTAGTAAAAATTTTCTATTTCATCTTGAACATTATTAGGTGGCACATCCATTTGAATAATTGTTGTATTAAATAGTCTTACTGTTAGGTATATTTATATTATCCTGTTATGTGAAAATTGGACAATGATTAATAAAGATTGAGGAAGAATTGATTCCTTTGAATTACGGTGCTAGCAAAGAGTATTAAATAGACTATGGAAGGCCCTCTATGAGGTGGATTGATTCGGTGACTGGGATAATTGGAATGGGAGTGTCAGAGACAGTGCTATTGGCACAGGACAGAGCGGAGTTTAGGGCTGTTTTACATAGGGTCGCTATGAGTTGCAAGTGACTCGACGGCACATAACAACAACAACAACAACTTCTCAAAGACCTAATTAATCTGCCGTGGATGAAGTGCAGCCAGAGTGCTACTGGGAAGGAAAACGTGGTGATATGTTGTCTCAGTTACTTTGGGTATGTTATGAGAAGGGCTTAGACCTTGGAAAAGGACATCAAGCTTGGAAAAGCTGAAGTTTAGAGAAGGAGAGAGATGGCATAATTTAGAAGGACTCACAAGGTCTGGCACAATTAATTTAAGCATTTAAGCAAACATTGTGAGGAAGGTGCAGAATAGGGCAAGGTTCTATTGTGTTGTACATACTCTTGCTATGAGCCAGAGTCAACTTGACAAAGTTATATGTAAGGATAGATCTTGAAATATTCTTTTTGATTCTGAATGTGATGCCAATCCTCTTCAATTAGTAATTCTTCATAAGGTAGATCTTATGCTTTTACTGTTCAAAATAGACAATATCATTACGTTTCAGCTCATTTGAGAAGTCTACCTTCATGAGTTTAATTTCATTTTAGCAACTTCTCATTTTTCTAGATTCATGCAGTCCACTTCCTAAATAACATGCCTCCAGAAACTCGATGAACTTTGATAAAAGTCGATAGTTGTAGAGGGGCTTCAGGCCTTTTGTTCATAGTATCACAAGGAGTCATGTTTGACTTGAAATCAGTCAAGAACAATAACAACATATTAATAATTAACCAGTAGGTACTTAATAGGTGTTTCTTTTAACAGTTTGTGCCCTATCACATCAGTAATGACTGTTACAAAGTTTTGTCTATGCCATTAAGGTTGATTTAACTTTAAGAACTCTTTGGTTTGAGTGACTTCCAAATGAACAGCTTGTCTTTTGACACTCTATCAGCCAATGTTCCACTGCTATTCATAACATTTTCACTAGTTGTTGGTGTTTTGGTTTTGTTTTTGTTTTTTAAGAAGTACATCTCCAAGACCTCCTTCCTAGTTTATTTCAGTCAGCAAATTCCACTGAAATCTGCCCACCACCATTGTTGACATTGCTGGTATGTCAATATAGCTATAGCATAGCTTTTAGTAACACAGTTTTATTTATTCATAAACAGTTTCATTTGTACAACGTAAATAGCTGTAGTCACACAACACATTTGGCATTTCCCATGAGACATATACATTTCAAATGGTGTCATAAATTCAGAAAATCTAGGTCTAAACCAGACATAGTTACTGCCCTCTTTCAATCTCATTTATAGCTTTCACCACAAATGAATGGCACGTAAAATATTCAGAAAGTGTGGAGAATTTTTTCTCAGAGGTTCACATTCAGCTAACATCAGAATGCCATCATTTATCATTTTCTAAATGTCATCTCAAGTTAAGGGTGATTTGCACCCTAGCAAGCCCATGAGGATGTCATGGTTGCACTTTGTTTGATTTATAGGATTTTGGATCGCTACGTTCAGGAGCAAATTCCTGGTGCCAAGGTTGTGGTGGAGTCCATTGGTGCTCGCCGACATGGAGATGCCTTTTCCCTAGAAGATTACACCAAATGTGATTTGACTGTCTATGCAATCGACCCTCAAACCAACAGGGCCATTGATAGAAATGAGCTTTTTAAGTAAGTACTTTTTCTTTTTTTAAAAAATTTTCAGTTCCTTTATTTTATCTACATTTACAACTTCACCCAAACATAATTTTTACTTACAGTATAACAATAATCAATTAGAAGATTAAAAGTAGTAAAGTGCTGTTTAAAATAAAAGTGAAAGTCAAAGAGACAACACGTAGTCGAATCCTAACATGTTTAGAGTTTCCAGGTTTAAGGTTGGAAAGAGTGGCTTCATCAGGTAGATTCCTATTGAGGTAGATTCACTCTTAGTAGTTCCTCTCTTTTGCCCAAAGGCCTGAGGTTTGGAGACTAAGACTCACATTCTTGCTTAAATTCTCACCTGTGTTGCTACAATTAGTGCGTTTCAATTTTAATACTAAATCTTTCTTTCCTTCAAATATACGTCATCAACAAATAAGAATATTCTGTGTTTAACTTGAATTCTGGACATAGAAAAAGGAAATAATCACTTCCCTCTATATGATATGTGATATCAGATTCTGATGTGAATTGAATTTTTCATTTAAAAATAAAAAAATAGGAATCTACAAAAGTTGGGAATCTACTACAGAAACTTAAATTACATAATGCTTCATATTTTCATTTGAATGTTATTCTAGTACAGTTTAATAATTCTCATTTTTCTTAACTGTTAGCCATTTCTACTTTACTCTTGTGACATCTAGTGTTCAATTGAGATTCATGAGATGCCGTCCTTAACAAAATTGAAACCTAATTTTTAAAATAAAAAATGCAATCATATGCATATATATATACAAAAGAGCTAGCTGATATGTGTCAAATGAAAATCCATACTTCTTTGTTTTTTATTTGTTTGTGTAGTAAACGTACACACACAAACATCTTTATTAAATACATACTATTAGTTATTTTCTTGTGTGTGCCATCAGGTTCATCTTATGTTGTTGTTGCTGTTGTTAGCTGCCATCGAGTCGACCTTCTAACACATCACAACCCCTAACACATAAATCTCTTATCCAGTTCTCAAACCACCTTTATCATTCACAAATCATACTTAACCTTGTCTTCTAGCTACACTGACTCTACTCTTTCTTACCTGCTAAGAAGAATAGAGGACAGTATGTATGTGGGCTAGACAGGATAGAACATCCTCAGAGGGTTTTCTGTTTTAATCTTTAAGGAAGCATATCCTTGGATCTTTTCTTTTGTGAAACGGCAGGTTCCAGCCGCCAGCCTTTTAGTTAGAAACCAAGTGCTTACCCATTACACTACCATGACTTCTTATTTATCAAAATCCATAAATTCTAAATTTAATCTTTCTTAATTCTTCTCATTAAATCTGTTTTATTGTCCTGATCTTCTCTTTCTCTTTCTCTTATCATCTTAGAGTTAGAACCAACTTGTAACTGACCCTTTTGAGTGCCTGAGGCTATAAATACTGTTGGAAGACATTGTCCATCTTTATCTGTCAAAGCTACTGGTGGATTTTTGAACCACCAGAAGTACAGCCTTTGGGTTAGCTGTGAAATTCCCTATGAACTATGTGATCAGAATGTTCCTATTTTAGCATCAACAAAAATTCTGGTGGCCTAGTAGCAAGAAGCTGAGCTGCAGTCCCCAAGGGACACCAGTAGAGGCCACCAGTTGCCCTGTGGGAGAAGGATGGGCAATCTCCTCCCTTATGGTTAACTGCCTCTGAAAACCTACTGTAGGATCAGCTATGAGTCAATTCCAACTCTATAGTACACAACAACAATATCCACTTTGCAAGGAAATGCAGTTATTTTGGAAGCTCTTATTCACTTCATTTTTAATAAATATTTGACCCACATCCAAGACAATATGATGCGGGGAATACACATGATCAAACTAAAGCTTCTCAGACTTTGCAGTAACAATCCAAATAAACAGCACAAATAGTTGACACCCTTGGATGCTAACAAGAATGGAGATTTGAGTCCACCCAGAAGTACCTTGGGAGAAAGACTAAGTAGGTTTCTCCTGGAAAAATCAGCCTTTGCAAATCTCATGACATACAGTTCTACTCTAATATACATTTTATGTTACCATGGGGCAAAACTGACTTAATAGACACTGATTTTTGTTTTGGATTGCTTTTGCCTCATTATCAGAATAGAGGTCCGGGTGTTCTAGGATTTTCTCAATATTCCTGCATGGCCTTTGGCTTTCTGTAAATCCCTTCATGCCTAGACCACAGGTGGTCTTCCACAATGGTAGTTTGCACTTGCTTGTTACTTAGCTCTGAGATCGTGGTGGACTCAAAGGTGTGTCTGCACGCGCGTGTGTGTGTGTGTGTGTGTGTGTGTGTGTGTGTGTTGTTTTCCTGATCCAGCCTGTGCACATGGGGCTTGAGGAGGGACCTTCCTCCGTTTTTCTTTCTCTTCTTTGCACAGCAGACAAGTTCTGCTCTATGTTTGTGGTAGATTTTTGGTGCAAAGACTCTCTGTCTTCTGTCCCTTTCCAAGAAGGAGTCAAACTCGGCTAAGTGCTGGCACAAGATCAGAGACCCAAGGGTTTCCTTTCTTCCCTCAAGGGTTATAGAATTTGCTCACACTTCGTGCTTAGAAGCAGTATGGCTTTGTGTGAGCCGAGGGAGGAAACTGTTCCTTGCCCGTCACACTGTGATATGAGGTTCTTGCTTGATATGAAATAGAAGTTGGAAGAACTGCAGCGTGCCACAGTCAGTGTTCCAGGCTCAACTGATTACTTCTTACATGTCTGCACGGTGAAAAGGCACTCTCTCATGTTGTCTACAGTGTAAATCGTTTTATGGAAGTCTATGAAAAGGAATTTGTAAGTGAATACTAACTCTCCCCTCCCTTCTTTGGATGTTTGTATGTCAGTATATAATTAGCTTTTAAATATTTATTAAAATTGTAGTGAGCTCTGGTGGCCTAGTGGCAAGAACCTGCACTGCAATCCCAGAGGTTCATGGTTTGAATCCACCAGATGCTTTGCTGGAGAAGGAGGGGCAATCTCCTGTACCATTTAGATCGGATTTGACAGTACACACACACAAGAAAGAAAAAAAAAGTAAAAATATTTATTAAACTATTTCCTTTTCATTTACTCTTCCAGATAATGTTCTCATTTGGCAAAGATTGTCATTTTTTGGAATTCAGTGTCTTTTCTTGCTTTGGGACATCAGTTTAAGAAAATGCATTGTTAAAACTATTTGGCTTTTTTTTTTATTAGAGTAGAAGCTAAATGTTCTGTGGCTTTCGGGATCCTATGAAGAAATGGGTCATTAAACTTTTAAATTAAAATTAATTAAGCTGAAACTTTAAGTGAATATTGTTTTAAAATGTAGTGGAATGGAGTTATGCTTCCAACTCAAAGGTGAATGGTTTGAATCCACTGCCCGCTCTACAGAAGAAAGATGGGAAATCTCCTTCCGAGCAGGTTCCTGCATCTGAAAACCCACTGAAGGATGAGCTATGAGTTGTTTCTAACTTGATAGAACAGCAACAATAAGCCTCTTTTTTATATAGCCAGCATATTTAGTACTGGTTTATGTAGATGTGAGGAGCTAAAGAAAACCTGCATACTCAACAATATTTTAAAATACAGTTTTTAAAAATCCAATCTTTAAAAAGGAATATAAAAACTTAAGTTCTGTTAAAGTTTTTTACAACTATCTAACTTCAGGGTGGGGGTAATCATAAAAATTCATATTGCTTAAAACTCAAAATGAAAAATTATTCTAAAACTCTCATTAAAGAATTATGGATGTGTATAGAAGAATCTGTTGGCTTTTTCATTAAGCAGGATCACCTCATCCAGTAAGATTAGTGTGGGAATATATTTTAACCTTGTTGCTTTGTTGTTATTGGGTGTTGTGGAGAGAGGGGTTTTGACTCATACTGACCACATAGGACAACGTAAAATTGTCCCTATCATTCTAAAGCCAGACAGCCACATTTTTCTCCTATTCAAGTGATTGGTGCATTCCAACTACTGATCTTCCAGGTAGCAGTCAAGCACTAAACCTTTTATTTAAGGCCTATTTAAACATACTTTTAAATGTTTCATTTCCTGTCTATAAAAGCAGATTTGTAAAACACTGCCCTTATGACCTTTTGCTGAGGTATGAAATTTTAATCAAAAACCATGTCTCTTTAAAAGTAGAACTAAGATCATCTGAACTACGTTGTTATTGGGTGCCATAGAGTTAATGACAAGTCCTAGTGACCCTATTAACAGCAGATCGGAACCTCGCTTTATTCTGTGTCATTCTTGCACTCTCTGCCAGGTTTGAGTCCATTGTTACAGCCACTGTGTCAAACTATGTTCTTGACGGTCCTCCTTTCTTTCACTGACCTTCTACCTTTCTCAACATGATGTCTTCTTCCAAAGGCTAGACCCTCTTGATAACATGCCCAAAATGTGTGAGAAGTTTCATCATTTTTGCCTCTAAAGATTAACCTGGTTACACTTCCTACAAGACAGATATGTTTACTTATTTGATAGTCCATAGTATATTAAGCACTTGTCTATAACACAATTAAAAAGAATCAATTCTTCTTTGGTCTTCCTTATTCATTGTCTAACTTTCATATGCATACAAAGGAAATAAAAATACCATGGTACTGGAACTATAAGGTTTCTCTAATTAGAAGACTAATAAATTAATCCATAATTGAATTTGCATCTAATACCAAGCACCTCTTTATTTTATCATTTAGAAGCTATGAATAATAGTACATTAACCAAATGTGAAATTAGAATCTGTAAATTATGTTAAAAAAATAAGCACAGGTAAGGAAGATTTTATTTACAGTTGAATATGAAATTTGGGCCAGTTTAATTCTCTTTCATGTATTAGTTTGTTTCTACAGTTTTGAAAATAACATGCTATTTTGTTAGTCAAGAAATACATGTCTAAAACAATCTATTTTTACTCTATAATCGTTAATACCCACTCTCTGCACTGGAATGGGTTCTGACTCAAAAAATCTTACCACTGACTTTCTGGTAAATTGAGATGAAAGGAAATTGTGCATCTTTCTCCCTGAAATCTACTAGTGGAGTTAAACCAGCAGCAATGTGCAGCCTTTACATTAGCCATGCACTCTACATTAGCAATGAACTCTATCGGGACTGTGACACTAGAGATCCCTCTACGACCACGAGTACATAAAATATTTTATAGCAACAAAAACGTTAATATGCAAAAGCTTTAACAGTAAAATACACAAATAGCAGCTCTTCATATTGAATGATTTTATCTTCTGATATTTGATAGTAAGGCATTTGACTTTTACTAATTAGAGTCTTAAATAACTTTAAAAGAAAAATACTGAAGTTATTTTGTGGTAAGAACACAAATGCTACGTCAAAATCTAGGATTTCTAGGAGACTGCTCACAAGTTCAGGTAGCTCTGGTCAGATAGCTCCCTGGGGAGTCAGCTGCTAACTGAAAGGTGACGCCTCTAAGGATGTTCAACCAGCTATTCTATTAGAGAAAGATGGATATCTCTCCTCATGGGATTTAAAGACTGCAGACACACTACAAGGTCAATTCTGAGTGCTTCTGACTCTACAGTAATGGTTATGTGTTCACAAGTTCAAGGTGCCCTGGTGGCACACTGTAGACTGTATTAGGCAGCTAACCAAAAGGCTGGTAATTCAAGTCTACTAGTACCTCTGCAGGAGGGAAATGACAATTCTTCTTGTAAAGATTTACATCCTCAGAAAGCCAATAGAGGATTGCAAAGTCTGAATCAACTCAAAAGTACATTCATATGGAATCCCTTGAGAGGAAAAGCGTGTCACCTGTTTACAGTATACGCTATACAACAAAATGTCAACCAATTAAGATTAAACAACAGTAATACCTTTATTAACTTTCTCAGCACATTGTAGTTTGAAGAATATTAACTAGAGCAAAGTTTTGCAAGAACAACTGGGTTCAATCAGGCACCAATTCTTGTTATTCTGACTGCATTGCTAGACTACTTGCATTTCTTATTTAGCTTTCATTTTAAGCAGAAAACACCTTTTAAATCGTTCCATATTTGCCCATAAACATTTAAGTTTGAGATTTGAGACTTCTGACATTTAATAGTGTGAGGGAAAGCAAATACAGACACTGGGACATAAAGCTTAAGTCAGTGCCTTGGATTTGTTTTCAAACTACAGAGCAGTAAATCAGTTTTATAATATTCTGTTGGACAAAATTGTTCTAATGCCTCATAGAGATAAATATGTATAAATATAATTTGTAAACTATGCTTTGCAACTAAGATATAGTACTACATCTCAAAACCTTAGTGACATAAATAACCTCAATACAGTGATATAAAATGCAACAATATTGATAATAAATTTTCTCAAGTTTCTCACCTTATTATCAAGTTTCATTGTTATTATTATCATTAATATTTTTCTACAGCAATCTGGAGTTCCTTATTGTTCATGCTTTGCCAGTTTTATTCTTCATAATTAGATTTCAAAATACTACTATGGTTCAATTAAAGAAAATATTAACATATCTTATGATTATTTTCTCTGTGAACATCACTGATTTTAATATTTATTAATAACAAAGATTTTTGGATGGCAAGCTGCTCGATATCAATAAGGACTTTCAGCCGTATTATGGAGAAGGAGGACGCATTCTGGAGATCCGGACCCCAGAGGCAGTGACCAGCATTAAAAAGCGAGGAGAAAGCCTGGGTTACACAGAGGGGGCCCTACTGGCCCTGGCCTTCATAATCATCCTGTGCTGTATTCCTGCCATCTTGGTAGTTTTGGTCAGCTATAGACAGTAAGTATGTATAGATGTTAAAAATGTTCCTTACAAAGGTGTTACTAAACACCATCTTTGGAACCCGTAAGTCACTGATAATGCCACCATTCTGGGATTATTTTATGTTAATTGTTCCTCAAAGGGGAAGCAATGCAGGTTTTTTGCTTGTTTGCATGTTTTTTTTAAATTTTTTATTAAATTTTATTCATTTTAATGAACATTTACAGAGATTTTGGATTTTCGTTCATTCATTGTTGCACTATTTTCTCTACCCTCCCCCCAGTTCGTTCCTCTTTTTTTTGTTTTTTCCCCTTAAAAGACTGTTTTAATTGTCCCAAGCAATGCAGTTTTACGATTTCATTTTCACAAGTGGCTCAATGTATCTGTGATCCTTAGATGTCTTTATCCACCAAAAGTATTCTTTTAACTCAGATGTCTTTGTATTTTCCACCAGACAGACATTTTGGGTAGAAAAGGTAATAGGTACCCTGAGAAAAAGTTCATTTTCCCACTTTACTCAGTTTCAAATGAAGAACCTATTACCTTACTTCCTTGTCTTGATAGATTTTTATTAACACTCTTAAATTTACCTTTGTGCAAATGGTCACAGTGTGGAAAAAAGCATGTTAAAATTGGACATTCCATGTGTAATTTTTCATGTGTAACTGCTAGGTAAAAATAGGTAAAAATTAAACAACGCCAACTAGGTAGTCGCTCAGCAGGAGAAAGATGAAACAGTATGCTTCAGTAACAACGTGCAAACTTAGAAATCCTATCGGACACTTCTACCTGACTCTATTGCCATCTATTTTAGCCTTTCAGGTTTTTTGTTGTTTTGGGGGGTTTTAATCAAGGCTTTTAATTTCTCTGATTTCCACAATCTACAGGAGCTATTAAAATAGATGATTTTATATTTAGACCCCTCAAAGTAGATAATAATTTAAACTAATTTCAACATGTGTATTTGAGGTAGACTTGAACTCCCATTTTTTACTTTTAGTATGGGGAATATTTTCAACTGGGAACTCTAAAATTGTATCTAAATTTGGAATGATTAGTTAAAAATTAAGGAATAACTTTAAGAAAAGATGACGTACAGAATGTGACATAACAGAAAATCATAAATCATATAAATGGCTTGATATTAGAAACAGGAAGAAATAATAATAAAGTTATGGTTTATCTTTTAAGAATTTACAATGAAAGTACTAAAATAGTCTTTATACATTCTTAATCTGGCATCTGATTTTCTCAAATATTGATAAGTTCTATTTTTTAATCAAATTATATTTAAAAATATTTTTAAGAAAGCCCAAAGCATATACTCTCCATGAAGATGAGACAGGAATATTTTCCATGGCAAAAACACTAAGAAGTTGCAAATACGAAATTCTGGGATGACAAATTGGTTGCAGCTTAATGAGCCCTTAACAAATAATCTAATATGTCAAAGCTAAAGCCTGTGAACAAACTCAATGCTAAACAAATTGTTTAAAATTATTAGGCTATCAACTCAAAAGGAATTTTCAAATTAGATCATTCTGTGTTACCAATTACCATTTTTCATTCAACTACTTTCTAAAGCTGCTCTATTATATCCCTCCAATACAAAATCTGTGTGAAAGCTTCTTATATTTAGTACACAAAGTATCTTGAGAATTATACTCAGTGGTCTGAAATTGAACAACAACAACAACAACAACAAAAAGAAGATACTTAGTATTTAAACTTTCTTCATTGATAGAAGCTTAGTTTATTTCTTTCTCAGTTTAGTAATCCACATAAACCCAATGAATTAATTTTTTAAGTACAGCTCTTTTGGTGTAATGAATTTAAGCCAAATGAGTTTAAAAAGGTTCATGTTTCAAAGTAGAATTCTAAGATTTAGAAATGATCTTTTGTACCTTCCTATTCTGCTTGTAAATAAGCTGGGGAAAGATGGTTATTCTTTTATATTAAGATGTGTCTTTGAAATGTTTCATGCATGGGAAACTAAGGAGTCAAATATTAAAAGAAATGTCAGGCATTCATTACCCAGGAGTGGAACCTTCCATCAGCTTCAAAGTGAGGCCAAGAGTATAATCAGGGCTTGCTGTATGACTCCTTTCCTTTAATATTCTTCAAGCAGAGTAAACCAAGAAGCCAATTATAAAGATAGGATCATTTTTAATATCCCATTTCTCTCTCACCATTGATGTTCACATGTCCTTGTTTTATTCCAGTTTTTCTTAACCTATTTAGTTCATCCTTTTTTAATGTCCTTGTTATGAATGTTTTAACAGCTTCCATGGCTATGACAGTAAGAATAGAGTGCTCACTATGTTCACTTTTCATACCGAAATATTCAGTTTTCCTGCTATGTCATTAACCAAATGTCATTATGAGTTCAGCTAATAAATAACTCATTATTTAAAATAAATCAGGTGTTAACCAACAATGAATGGAGTATTTCTAATGAAAATTTCTCTTTATTCTTTGCTTGCCCACACAGGTTTAAAGTGTAAGTATAAACAACAATATTTTGCATTTAAAATTATAGACATGTAACACAAAGAGAGAAACTTAGATAATTTTCATTAAGGAAGTAGCTTGCCCGAGACTATGTACTATTTTTGTTTTGTATTCTTATTAAGTGAATACTATTTGTATTAAGAACTTTTTTCTGAGCCTCAGAGAGGGCACAAAAAAAAGGAACTTTTTTTATATTGATACAACTAGATGTAAGTGGAGAAAATGAGAACAATCAGTGGGCATGACATAAAAACAACAACTGCACCCTGACAAGTAAATCAGAGGCAGTACTAGACTCAAAGGAACCACCAGCTAATGAAACCAATGGTGTAAATTTCAGTGAACTAATTTTAAAATTTTATCAAACATGTATTTTAAGTATAGGCCTCATAAAAGAGTCATTAAACAACTTCCAATAGCAATCATATTTTTAGAAATACTATACCTTCTCCTTTTGACCAATATGATAATTTCATTTGGCTTGCACATTTTTCCATGAAATTATGTATTTTGGTTGGGTAAGTATGCACAGACAGTTTGATGAACTTGGGAGCAACTATAAGGTGTATATATATAAAAAATAACCTCTGGGCATGTATTTGTAATTATACCTGGTCAGTAATTTAAAATATTTGTGCATGTATCTGTGATTATATCTGTTTGTAAATTCAAATATAGATAGATAGATAGAAAGATAGATAGATAGATAGATAGATAGATAGATAGATAGATAGATAGATAGATAGATACACTTGCACACATTTAGATATATATTCTTGTTTACCACGGAGTCCGAATGAACGCGTAGCAGACCTTCCAGTGGGCAGAGGTGATAAATCGCACAGCATCCACTTCCTAAACAACATGCCTCTGTAAACTCTATGAACTTTGGTAAATGATGATGGTTATAGAAAAGGTTCAGGCCTTTAGTTCATAGGGTTGCTAAGAGTTGTGCTCCACTTGACAGCAATCAACAACAACAACAAATCGCATGAGAGGAGATTGCCATCTCACTCCCACAGAACAGCTGGTGGATTTGGCCCACATGACATTGCATTGACAGTTCAATTCCTTAACTCTAAGCCACCAGAATGTATTATGATTGTCCATCCTTTTCCAGTGGAGCAGCTGGTGGCCTCTAACCATGAACCGCTGGGATTACAGCACAACTATATAGCTCTGCTAGCCTAGTAACAAGAAGCTGAGCTGCAAGCCCAAAGACATATGGTTAAAGGCTACCAGCTGTTCCGTGGGAGGATGGGCAATCTTCCAATCTCCTCCTGTGCAATTAACTGCCTCTGAAAACCCTCCAGTGTGTCAAATATGGGTCATTTCCAACTCTGAGGTACATGACAACTATATATTTATATATTTATGTATTTTTTATATTTATATTTAAAATTTGTTTTCTTTTTATGCATATTTGTGTTGTTATATTGAAAATATATATATGTATTCAGATCCACCAGTTGCTGCTTCATAGGAGAAACATGCACAGCCTCCCTTCATGCAATTTACAGCCTCTGAAAATCCACTGGAGGGTCAGCTATGAGTCACTTCTGATTTGACAGCACTTAAGAAAATAAAGGGTTGTTTGTTTTTTTTAAGTGGAACCATCTTCTACATGGGTGGTTTTATTAAATGTTAGCCTATTTATAAGCATGTGATTTCCAAAAGAGTTTCTAAAAACATCCTTACTTTGCTAAAGACGCCAAGCAGAGTGCACCAAGACAGCCCGGATCCAGTCAGCTCTTCCTGCAGCCAAACCAGCAGCTCCAGCCCCAGCTCCAGTAGCCGCACCCCTGCCTCCACCACCACCTCCTGGGGCTCACCTCTATGAAGAACTTGGGGACAGCACCATGTAAGTAGATCCTCTGTGAATTTTGAGATCTAGATGGATTTTAATGGTTCCTGAGTGGTGAGTATTTAATTCTAATCTGACATGGAAATTCAGCTTTCAGCTACCTTTGATTACTGTACATTTTCAACAGAAAAATTGTGAGACCTGAATCTAAGAAAAGCTGAATTGAAGAAAAAATATTGGGGGAAAATGATCAAAACAAAAACACATATATTAAAAAAAACAACTGAATTTGAGAAAAATAGTATTCAATTTTAAGAGACCCTGCAGATGTATAGCCCAGATAGTATTTTATTTAAATTGTCAACCTTCAAACTGCAGGTAATTTTTTTATTAACTTGGAAAAAAATTAGGGGAAAGATGTCGATAATTACAGAAAAAAGAAAATAAAACACAATGATAAAATAATAATTACTGATTTGGGAACAAAACAATAAAACCCAACTTGTCAATTCATCATTAAAAACTGTTTCTATGCTTGAAAAATCATTAGATTTTCCAAGATAATATTTTGGGAATAATTAAAGTACTGACAACAACAGAGAATAGTTTTTATGTTAAATGCTCAATCACCTAGGGTATTTATTTACATCATGTTCATTGAATGAGACTACATGCACAGGATAATTGTTGTCATGTACAGTCAAATTGGAATCTAACCATAGCTGACCCTCCAGCGGGTTTTCAGAGTCAGTTAATTACATGTGAGGAGATTGCCTGTCCTCCTGCAGAGCAGCTGGTGGATTTGAACCACATGCCTTTGTGATTGCTGTGCAGCTTCTTACCACTAGGCCACAAGAGCTCCCTAAGTGATAGTAAATTATGTATTTTTAAAAGTGACTTTTAAGTGATTCAAAAATTTCACAGTTTTTCATGTACTGCTGGTCTTATAATCAGATTTCTTTGTTTAATCCACAATTTTTAGTCTATTCATTTTTAATTTTATATTTATTTATTTCCAAAACAATGAATACTTTTTTTTCACAGTATAATAAGATTTCTTTTGAAAAAATTTTAACATGTGTCACAAACGTTTCAACAGCACATAACAACATTTTTTTAAAAGGCAAGGGTAAATACGTCTACATATAAAAAGATGATATATATTTTAATACAATTAGATAAAATACAGGAATATTTCATTAGCCTAAAATTTCGAAAACATTTTTTATGTTACACTTCTAGCATTTACTTTGGAGATAAAACAATCCTTAAAAAGTATAAAATCAATCTTTTAATGGGAAAACATCTTTGAAAGAGTTATACTGGTGTTATTTATCAAATTAATAATAATATAAAAGCATATAATATTATGCAAGAATAGTTTCCATAATGTTTAAATGTATTTCAATGTCTATATATTTTAATGTTAATACTAAATTTGAAGTAGCTGGATGCATTGTATTATCTTTCTGAAATTATAATACAGGATACTTCCTTCAATAGAAGGTTTTACGTATCTTTTCATATTTTCAAAATTATGGTTTCTTTTGAACTATTATTGGTGAATGTAGGAATTGAGCCAATATGTTAGATTTTCCTTAATCATGTTAACTACTGCTCTCTATTAAAATATATTTAGAGAAATTAAAAAGTATAATGTACAAAGGTAAGTATTTTATATATAAAACTTATAAGTATTTCTTTTTAATTAAAAAAAAAGGTATACTATAATATCACCTGGAATCAATATAGCTTGCTAGTGATAATTTTCAACTATCAACCCTTAAGGGCTTCTTTTTTTGCTTTTTTGCTTTAAACATTGCTGTAGACTTAAAGGCTTTTTTATTATTATAATACACCTATTTAGTGTTCTAAATTCTACATATTTAATGTTCTTATAAGCAAGCTTTAGATATTCTTACTTTATCTACTAAAAAGGTATCTTTAGGTATTCTAAATGTAAGTTGTTTGAAAAAGAACAAACTCCAAATGATATATTTTCAGTTAAAAGGTAAAATGTAAAATGCCATTGTGGAAAAAGAAAAAAATATTCTAAAAGGCTTTCTAATAAAAAGGTAGCTTCATACAGATTCTATAACTCTGTTATCATAATACTTGCATATTTACTTCCTTTCAAACAAAAACATAGATCTTCTGTAAAACTAGTATAGATTATTTTTTCCAAATTAGGAATTGAAAGTATTTCTCTACTTTTCCTTTAAAATTCTGTTTTAGGATTTAAAAATTTGTGTCGTAGAGGTGAATTATGCATATAAAGTATATACTTTCATGTGTTAAGGCAGTAAAATAAATGCCATATGACTTTACCTAAAACGTCATAAATATCATTACTATAAGTAAATACAAAGCAAATATACAACATGCATTTCCTTTCTTGCATGTACATACTAAATGTTTAAAGCAAGTTCCTGTAACTATTTGCATAATCATCTCAAATTAACTGTAGTTAAAACCTTTTTTTTCTATCACATGTTTTCTCTTTCTCACCTGTGGATACGTAGGCATAAGTAAGTAAATAATATCATTCTAATACAAGAATATTAGAAAAATGCAATAGAATAGCTTAAATGCTGCTTCATTCTATATAGTGATCTTCATCTTTCATCATTGAGATATTTGCTTTTTAGGAGAAAGTGACATCATCCCACCCCCATCTTTTTGATGTCTTTTAAATGGCATGAACTGTGTTATTTCAGATAAATGTCCCCAATGATAGTATTTGTGTATACCAACAGAGATTTCAAAATTTGCTAAAAATGTTTACCAATTTCTTTCTATAGTTGTGTGATATCATATAGAAAAGTTTTACAGACACACATGCATGCATACATCCAAGAACAGAATTATATAAAAAAAAGTGCCATGTAAGTCAAACCCCATAGCTACTGGCATTTGAAAAAGAAAAAAAAACCAAAAAGCCTTTTTAAAAGGTCAGGCAAGATAAGGCAAAGGTGGCTGTTTAATTCAAATTGTCTGCATTTTCTGAGTTGTTCAGGTGAGCCTCATAAGCCAAGCCCATCTGAGGATTCTTTTGCAATCTTTATTTCATCTAAAGGTGAAATAACAAGTTTGAGTTTACATATAATTCTATCAGTTCACTTACCACCTCAATTTCTTAACGTGGCCATTTGCTTACTATTTAAAATATTTCACTTTTGTTTCCTTTCTGCTGTGCTGCTAAATATTAAGCAGTAATGGAAATAAATCTCTCATTTCTTTGACCTTGAGAGCAGAATTAAAAGAGAGCCTATTTAAAGCCACACACATAGCAGTCTATCTCAAGGAAGGCCATGAGTGGTTCTTCTTTTGTACTTTTTCACTTACTGTTTTTTTATGACTCATGGTCACATATGGCTTTGTGTCCACGCATAAGCAAATCTTTCCATGATATCAAAACTGTGCTATCTTAACATTAATCTTTATATTAGAGTCCTGAATATATGAACCAAATAATATTGTAATGAATTGCCAATAGTCTCTCTTCTTGGTATTATTTTTTTAAAAACTTATGAAGCATAACATTTAAATAATAGATAATTATCTCTGTCAGCATCTGTTTTCCAATTGTTATTTGAATTACATGAAAGAAATCTGTCTTTCCATCTGTTTTTGGAGACTTTCATTCTCTTAACTCTGGAGAACAGAAAGTTTTGGATTGTCTTGCAATCTCGGTCCCAGGGAGGAGACTACTTTTAGCTTTCTTTCGAATTACTGAGATGAAAGATAATGGACAAGTACTGAATCAGATACAGCTATGAATCTAAGAATATACCCAGTGCCTATTAATAGTTGGCTCACAACATCTACTAGTAAAGGACATCAAATAGGTAACCAAGATTCTGGCCTGCAATTTGCAGAATTGTGCTTTATGCATGAGAAAAATCTTACGTGTGGACACAAGTCTTTGCTGTGTCAAACTAGGTCGTTGGGATGGGGGATCAGTCTATAGATTGTTGTGTCTCTTAAAAATGGAAATATTTCATGATTTCACAGCTCTCAAGCCTTTCTTGCACTACGTTTTTGAGAACAGGGATATGAAAGGAATGCCTTGCTTCAGTCAGTAGATTAGTGTTATTTGTAGTTTTATATTTTGATGTAGTAATGAGAACCATACAGACTTCTTTTCTCGTGAAACCTGTGTCACAACCTGTTTCCTTACATTTCACTATCTTCTTTTCTTTCAAGTCTTTTCCTTCTCTACCATTTTCAACAAAGCAGGGGAAATAATTCAGTCTCTGAAGACAGGAAGCATCAGCAAGTCGCAACATCCTTTTCCTCCTGTTCTGTTGAAGCTCAGAAGCCAGCTCATGCAGATGGATCATTTGAAAACAGCCAGCCCACATCTGCGAGAAAGCTCACCCTTCTAACTGAAGAGGCTTCTCTGAGTACTCATAGTCCCCTTTATGTGGAAAATGTAGGTCAAAGATCAACAAAGCCAGACGTTTCAATAAGAGCAGATCTTGTAGACCCATTTTTACTCAAAAGGCAAGCTCGGACTGAGTCTTTAAGGGACCCAAGAGGAAAGATTCGGAGGATGTGGAACCAGTCACTCTCCTTACCCAGGAGATCAATTTGGAGAGCATCAAATAGGCCCGAAATCCTAACTATGGAGCACTGGCAAAGCAACAGGCAGAAAGCTGATAATGAAAGTTCAGGAAACAATCCGAAAAGAAGAGACAGCAATCCCTTGCTTACAGCTGGAGATATATGTTTAACAGAGGAAGGAGAAATAAGGCAAATGGAATCACAAGGAACAGTACAATTGAAACGTCGGCCTTCAGACACTTCATTTTCCTCTCCTTGGTCTCACTCCTCATTTTCCACTTTGCCAACTGTTTCAAGAACTACGGACCTCAAATCAGAGGCTAATATTCCCCAGAGCCTTCCCCAGACTGACTTCTCCCTGGAACTTTCTCCTTCCATGCCTTGTATTTTAAATTCTCCGAGGTTTAGAAGAGAAATATCCACCATTGAAATAAAAAAGAATATTTTTGAAAAATTTGCTCATCCACCAAACATCCCTCCCCCTCCCCCGCCCCCTCTTGTTCTTAATCCATCCTTCTCTCTTTCTTATGCCTCCTCTGCACCTCATCTTTCCCCTCCTCCTTCTCCACCTCGGCCACATTCTGCTGTTCCTTCACCCCCTCCTCTTTTCCATCCTCTTCCTCCACCTCCTCTTCTCCCTTCACTTCCTTCTCTACCTCCACCTACTCTTCCTCTCCCTCCACCACCGCCTCCTCTTCCTCCACCACATCCTTCTCTTCCTTCTCCACAGCCTTCTTCAGCTTCAGTTCCATCAGCAGAGTGTGCTTGTCTACCAGCTGTCAAACACACTGCCAATCTGGCATCTTCTGAGCAAGTTCAAGCTTCCATGTTACCGTTATCAACATCCACCGTGTGTAATGTAGACTCAGAAAGAGAAACAAAAGGCATTCTCAAACATGTTAAGAACCTAGCAGAAATTGAAAAGTCGGTGGCTGATATGTACAGTAAACTAAAAAAAAATTACCCACCCACAGATGTCTCAAAACTTCACCTCATTTGCCCTTCAGAGCTAACAAATATGGAAGCTGCAGTTGAACAAAACCAAGGGAATTTGAACAATACTGTAGAAGGATCTGAAAATGAATCACACTATCAGTCCACTTCATTGTAATGTTAATCTTCCTATTTAATCAGGCAACACTTTTTTTTTGGCCATAATCATTAGTTGAGGCAAACTTGAACATACAAGAAGATTTCTTTACTTTTTCCCAATTCAAAGCAATGATTTTTTTTTGTACTTTTAATTTCCAAGATTATTAACTGTATCACTAACTCATATTCTAGAGTTACCATAATTTTCTTAACTACAAAGTAGCATTATTTATCCTACAGTTATTTTAAAAGTAAGTAATTCTAATATATTTTTACTGGGAATATGTGGGGATGAAAGATATTTAATTTATATAAATGGCACGTTTACTAAATGGATATAGTAAATTTTACATTTTGGGACATAGTTTTTTATGAGGGTTTCAGGAATAAATGCAGACTGTTATAAGTAAGTAAACTAAAGATAATTTCATAGATTCTGTTATTCTTTGATGCCTATGTATTTTGTAAGAAGAAATGCTAGCAAAGTAAAGTGTTATGTACTAGAAATAAAAGAGATGGCAGACATACAGTAAAAATAAATCTCAGGTGCTATAATATGTAGTCATCTGGTTATTTTCTAAAAACACCTTTTACACTAGTTTGCTTTTATCTTACCAGTGTACTTACAGATTTGATAAATCTCTTACTTTTTCAAATGGATGTCTTAATTCTGTTTCTCCTTGTAATTTCCTTTCCTTCTTTTATAATGAAAATAAATCTCGAGTTGTCGACCTTTGTAAGACATTTTGTTGTTCTCACAGATGGTTCTATTACTATTTTTGTTGTTCACTTTATTATTATAATCACCTTTAATTATTATTTTTGTCATAAAGTTGTCCTTTAAAGAAAATATTTGCTTACCCTAATTTAATGAAAAAAGTAATTAGTTTAATAAAAAGGTTAAATACATAGCCACAAGAATTTATTTACTGTGAATTCAGCCACTGTCAATTTCATTGATCAAACTATAAACTTTTTCTTATATGCTTATCAATAACATGAAATGTGCTTATCCATTAAATTTTTAGAAAAGTACATTATTGACTTTCTCTGTACTCTTTTGTTGTGACTATGAGTAAATTATTCAACTATAATTTTTAATATTCAAATAAATTAAAACTTCAGAAGGAAAAATAAGAGGGAATATATTTGGTGAACTGCCACCAGATTTCTCTAGGTATTTACTCCTTGTTTTATGCAAAGAAGATAGAAAGTAAAACTCTGGGGGAAAATTTATAATAGATCTCTTTTCTTAGAAGGCAACTTGTTATAATCCAAAAGACATCAACTGTCAGATAAACTGAAGAGAATCATATTACTGAAATGTCCACTTTTGCTAACCTCTACATATTGTGATTTTATATGGTAATATAAAATAATTATACTATTTTACCCAAGGAACTCACATAAAAAATCTTATTGATGGGAATTCCCTAACGTGAACATAAAAGAAAATAATTATTTATTTCAATCTGGATGTTTAAAATTTGAGGAAATAAAAGTCTTCACAGAGAAAAGTGAAATTCCATAATAATGGCAAAATTCATGCTTGCTAGTTACTTTTGCCAGGATATTCATATAGATTCAATGCACTATGAGGCATCATTGCAAAGTTCTTTTCAATTCTCATGTGGAATGATATATTTTCAGGGATTTGGTCTGAAATCTCTTCGTTAATGAGTTCAAATAAAAGACAATTTTTAATTATTTTGCATTAGCTCATTTGCTTCAGGTATTTTTCCCCCATCCAAATCAAAAGTAATTTTCTTCGTGGGGTTCTTGAAAATGATTTTTTTCTCTCTTTCACTGAAAAACTTCAGTTGGAGTTTTTGTTGGCAGCTGGTCATATGCATGAGAACTTGTGCCATTT